TGTCTTCTGAATGATAGAGCAGTATAACTAGCTTTAAATACAGCTGAAATTTTGTAATGACCAAACCTCAGCTCATCCAAATCCCCAATAGCATTAAATCCCTCGAATTGGGCTGTAAATTTGATTAGCCTTACAACAGACATGAGACACAAATGTTCTTCCTTATGCAGTCATATTAAGTGGCTGCAAAAGACGACAAGTCATTGTAGAGCAGCGCGTCCGACCTTTGTAAGCTAGGCAGGAGCTCCAGCTCACCCAGCTTGCAAAACTACAGTTAAATGCAAGTTAATTTCTTGAATTCTGGTATAACATGAGGATTACGTATGGTGAGGTGAGGGGGCATTTAGCAGCTGCAGTCTTCCTATAAATCATCCGGAAGCTTTTCTTCATACTTTAGTTCTCTTGATTGACATTTTCCGTATAAGTTACATCGCTGAACCTTAGCTTCTGTCCATGCTTGTTTTATTTGGTGCTTATTTTATATATTTTCATGGCTCTTGCGCTGTCCTTCAACATGAAATTTTGTGCTGTAACTCCTGGTGTCCTCCAATTTTACATGGAACTAATCCGAGTATTGGATCACATTTTTTCTTTAAAAAAGCTAAAGGTTATAGAGATGTCCTAGCGTGGATTTCTATAAGGGAGAGTCAGGAACTAGAAGGAACAGTAAATTGTGAGACCTTAAAGTTTTCCAGGTCCACCAGTTTTACAGCAGCTTCTCAGGTGAGCTGAGGTGAGCGTGACTCCCTGCACTCCCCACGCGTGGCTATCACAGCCAGCACCACCAGCAAGGCTGCTCCCAGGTTTCGGTGCTGCCAAGTGCCGTACACGATCGCTCTACCTCAGCCAGGCTTCTCCAGCCACCAGAGCACTGAGGGATGGGGTATCTGTGGCTCTCAAGCCAGGCACCATGCAGCTGGTGATCCGAGAGGTCCCAAAGTACACGCATCCGGCCAGGCCAGGAGTTGCAGAGTTTTGCTGTTATTGTTCTTAACTTATTGTGGGTTTATTTTAATTTCTTTCACTACGTTGTTCTGATAACACATCTCTGGCGTAGCTTTATGTTCCGATCCCCTGGTTTTCGTTGTCGTTTGGACACAGTCCCATTTGGAGTGAATTTCTGAAATGAACCCTGATTCACTGATGAATCACGCTACTTCTAAAACAAAAATAAAAGAAAAAGCTAAAGAGGTTTACTAGTTACAGAAACAAATTTCTAGCATTGAGAATAAAACCACAGATATATACAAACGGAAAATAAGAAACAGTTTTATGGTAATGAGAAATGGAAACATGGGAAAAGTACTGTTATGAATTTTGAGATACAGTATTTCTTTTTATCTCTTAATTAGACAGTTTACACAGCAGTTGCTTTATAAATACATATTTGGCCCTACTAATGCAGATTTCACAATACTCCTTTAAATAGTGCAGCCCGGCTGAGAACCAGGTGGTGCTCCGCCACGTGCTACTTAGTTTAGGGAGTAAATGGGAACTATTGTTTCTTCCTCATATTTGGTATCTTGTAGGACTTGGACACTATAACCAAGACTCGTGCATGTTGGGAATTAAGGCTTTTAATTGCTTTAATTAAGGTGCTTCAATTTATCTTGTAATCTCCGTTTTATGGCCCCTCCCTGGGAACTGCGGAGCAATGGTGACTCATGACCCATTAAGTGTTGAGAGATCTGTCTCCTTGGGCCTGCCGGCCGGCTCCCTCCTCCAGCAAGGACAATACGGCTTGGGCCTCAAGCTGCAGGTGCAGAAAGAGACCGTTTGCATTTCTGGAGGTCACAGGCCATCCTTACGTCCTCTGGCACTGATGCAGTGGGCTGCATCAAATTGGCCAGTGTGTCACTGGTTGGGTGGCTCTGGCCTGAAGTTAAAATTTCCCTCCTCAACAGCTGTCCCGTCTTCCCAAAGAAAGCTGTTGTGCCTCCTGATGGTTTTACAGCTTCACAGGAACTGCTAAAATAAGTTAGCTCTTCAAACAGCGGTTGAAGAGTCCTTATTGAAGTCCTCAAAAATAACTACGTATAATGCCAACACCCCTCCAGACCCTCTGACAGGGAGGTGAAATAGCTGGGCCTCTCTGCCAGTAAACATTTTTCTGTTTGGGCTGTCAAATGAGCAAGTGGCTTTGGCGAACTGAGGGCTTGTTCTTTTATTCAATATTGTTATAACCAATAAAACGTACAGCCAAACTGCAAAGAACAATGTTATTACCAAGAGCACCTTTTAGTAGCGCCCGCTCAGCAGCTGGCAGTGGGTGCAGCTCGTCCTGCTCACGCTACAGCAGGCAAGGACCTCTCTTCGCTTCAGCAGTCCGGCCTCACACAGGCAGACGCTGATGCAGGGAGACACTGGCTTGAGGGAAGCACCCGAGATGACAGCTGATTCACAGGCCACTCTCTCGGTGGGAATTTACACACCTACAACAAAAGCTTACATAGACCTCAGACCGTCACCTCCACTATTTCCCCAACCGCCGAACAGAATACTGCAAAAACAAAGGCTTGAACATATGGATAAATAAACAGCCCAGTTCCCTATGTTACTGGGCTTCAACAAATTTCCCCACTTTCTTATCAAGAACTCCTCTCATTGATTATTCCCCCACCCCAAAAGAAAGTAGACACCCTCCCATGCTGGGAAGAGGTGAGAGGAAGAACCTGTACCTTCCAAATCCTTCCAGAGATCTATGTTGTTGAAATACTTCCTTGTTCCCAAAAGGAGATACAGATGGAAGCCCACACTAGGAAACCAAACATTGTAATCTATCATCCAGGATTGGGGATGATGATATGATCCTCGATACCCTTTCAGTAGATCAAGGAAATCGATTTACAGCTCTCAATGTGAAAGACACACTGTCACATATACATTCATCCCACACATAAAAGATGTTCAGATTTGAACTGGGTAAACCTTTACTACAGCACATCATTTCTCACTGACTCACATAAGGTTTTATAAAGGTCTTAGCGGCAGCACTTTGAATATGCACTAAACCTCATTAAGCACTTGCTGCATTCCAGATAATAATGCCGTGATATTCTTGCAACCCGTCACAGCCAGATGCCTCAGAGGCCAAACCCGACCTTCCCCAACAGCATGAAAACCAGCACATTCATTGAATTTTGCTCCAAGGATTCCTTCCAAGTTCAACCCTCAGGCTCCATTTCTCCCTGCGTCTGTGAAAGTGTTTCTTTGCACAGGGGTGTCGCATCCGAGGAGGGTGTGGGAATTTGCAGCAGTGCTGTCAGGCTCATCCCCAAGCTACGTTACAGTACGACAAGGTTTCTCTGAGACTACTCCCTAAATCTTTTGCTGAGAGAAATTTTGCCCTTTCCCATTACCCAAGTTCCCCATTTACCCTGCAGTGCATCTCAACCCTCATTCCAGCCATGAACAACTTTGCACTCCTTAAATACCCGTAGACTATTCGCCTCCGATTTGCACGGCACAAAATCCTTCCAGTAATCTCCTGTATAGTTCTTCTCCTCGGCTGAGGAGTTAAAGGTGATATACTTTATAGTCTGAAACTTTTAAAATGGATCTTAGATCAGATATGCTTCTTTGACACTCGTGCATGTAAAAATAGCAAAGCCCAGGCCTCAGTGACCTCCTCTGGATATATTAAGATATTAAAGGTAAGTATATGCAGGACTGAGACTACAGGGACTTAGTACACGACAGTCACAGTGATAATTCGCCTTACTATTTTAGTAGGTGCAAACTTAAGATTCAAATCATGGGCTCGGCCTGAAAGTAGCAGAAGGTTTTTTCATTAGATACTATTCAGTAATATTCAGTAATATTGGCAGTAAGCCAACCAATTGATTTTTGGTTAAACCAGCGCATTTCTTCTATCATAATCTCTCATCATCAAGAAACAAACAAAAAAGCCCAGATTTACTCCGCATTGCAGAAAGCCTGACCTCTAGTCCCAGTTATTTCGGTGGTTAATAATGCAAATGCCACACTCTGATTATGACTGTACTGGGGAAGCTGAGATTCATATTGTTCAATGGCACCATCTTCAGTCAACTACAGAGCTGATTATTAACTGTCTTTAAGAAGAAGTTGTGTTCATGTGTCCTAAGACTGGTAAAAACGTGGTATCAGTGCTTCTGAACTTGCATGGTGTGGTGGTACAATCTCAGCAAATTTCCTGTTGCAGCAGAAATATAAAGAGTATGGTCTCTCAAAAAAAGGAAAAATCTCTATACATTTTTTCTGCTTTAAACGGAGAAGAGGAAAATGGTGATGACACACGGTCACTTCTGGGAAAGTCTTGTTTTGGTTTATTTTTCTTAAAGGGCTGGTTGGTTTTGTTTAATTATTTGTGAAGTAATTTGTAGATCCAGGTTAATGTAAAAATACTTTTTCAGGTTGTTTCTTCATTTTGAAAATACAGAAATAGCTTGAGAAGACAAAACCATGCAGCATTCTGACCATATAAATGCTCAGAAATATCCCATAAATTAAATACCAATTCCCAAATTTGCCATTAACTTTTGCTGCTTTGAAAATAGTATTTACTGCCCTAATTCCTAATCTTTCTTTATGGTTCAAAATTAAAAGTATTCAAAAAAACCATGTAACCTGGTAATTGTAATAGAGCCCATCCTCTTAGGTGATAGTATAGGTATTTGTGGGAGTCTAATACCATAAATAAATGACGTAGTATGTTTATTCTTACCACCTGAAAGAGCCTTTTAGCTCAAAATAAAATTATTGGAACATTTGTTTGTGAGGCAGAATTTTAGAAAATGGTTTTAATTATACGTTTGCCAGAAACACATAGCTAATTGCCAGCCAGCTCCTCCCCATCTTCTTCTTCCTTTCTTCCTGTACGCGTGAGTGCTTTCAAAATGGGACTAGTATATGTAGGCACCTTGTTCTTACAGTTAAACCTAAGAGAACTGAATGAATCTGGATCTAAGAATAGCTTTTGCGTCCTTCCAAGGCTGACAAGTATTGTGTTTCCTTTTCAGCTGACCCCCTGGTTGGAAGTATTGCCACTCAGTATATGACTAACAGAGCAGAGCACGACAGAATGGCCAGACAGTGGACCAAGCGATACGCCACATAGGAACCTACTCTAGGATTTGCTGGACCTGTGCAAGCACATTCACTAAGTGCATCAATAGCCCTTCCCTTCATTCTTATTTTTTATTAAATTTTGAACCATTTTGTGACAAAAGGTTGTCCTTCCTTTCTTTTTGGGTTTATTTTTATTTTTGTTTGGGGTTTTTTTGTTCTGTTAACTTGAAAGCTGTTTCCCTCAAATGTAGACAGGGAATTTTGGTTATCAGTGCAAAGAATGTTGGATCTGTAATAGTATAGAGCTTTGTCACAAAGCTTTGTATTAATGTGTGGGTTTTTTTTTTTCTTTCATGTGGTTTTTGGGAAAACAAACAAATTCAGAATTATATCTCGTTTCTACTTAAATGTAGTGTTTAGGGTTATTTTTTTGTACTGAAGTCTTTAATGGTGGGTGCATGCTACTGGGAACAAGTTTTGTATAAAAGCTTAAAATCAAGAATCACTGTGCATTACTAAGACTGTGTTTATCACTAGCCTTCTGTTTCCCACACGAAAGGCTATTGCGTTGAACAAATTAATATGTATTTTGATTTACTTAAAAAAAAAAAGTGCTTGTAAATTTCTTAGGGACCTGCCACTTTTGACTGTGGATCAGTTGATGTACACTTGTATTATTAAAGCACTCAATAAAACACTGTGGCTGATAAATGCACTTCTTGCAAGACAGTGCTTTTGCGTTTGTGCAGTATAGGTTGCCTAGTCCTCACATAATACAACTGCAGGTGAAGCAACTATTTTTAGGCCCCTAAACTATTCATTTCTTCTCAACAATGCATTTCTTAACTGAGAATTCTTCATTGTGTATTTATCTTTCATATACAAACATCTTCCAAATTTTAAGGCTTTTCTTTTGCCTGCCGGTGCTCAGCTCAGCTATTCAGAAGCCTCTTGCTGCATCTTTTATACTATGGCTTCACTATATCCATCTTATATCCATTTAAAATAGTTGGCTATAAAAATAGCCTTGCAGTGAAAGCTGAATATTGATGATGATTTTATACAGCAGGCCTCATTTTGCCTTCCTCCAAGCTCTTTAATTGTAAAAGCAACTGTTATTTAAAAAAATAAATGAAGGTTTTCGATGGGAAAATTGAGCCCATTGCACCAATCATTCCCAGCACGTTCAATGGCAAGGGTATTTCTATTCAGATTTGACCTTCAGGCTAATTTTAGATATGCAGCCATAGAAGGAAAACTTCTACTTGGCTAAGGAAATGTGTGGGTGTTATGATTGAGAAAATATATACTGTGGTGCTGATATCTAAATGTTCTTTGTGTTGCAAGACATACTGGAAAATCCCTGTCTCATATAATTAAATGTTACAGATGCTATATACAGTGCTTGCCTGCCCTCTCCCCTCTCTCCTTGCCTCTTCTGTTTAAAGAAGGTCCTTTCTTAAAGAAGATCCATTACAGTAGGGACAGTATAAAGATACAGGGAGACCCCATCCCATTACATTCCAATCCAATCCAACCGTCCTGAAAACTGAAGCAGTCAAGGTGACACCATATGGTGTCCCTTTTGATCAAAGCAAACAGGGAGTCTTCTGGTGTCTGTAGAAGACTTTACAAGCCCAGCCATACAACATTTTGAGGCCAACAGATCCTAAATACAGATGTGCAAGAACAATAACAGTTCAAAAATAAAACAAAACAAAACCCCCAAACCAGACTTCTTGGAGCCAGAACACCTTCTGAGGACAACTGTTATATTTACTTCCACCATACAACTTGCCACAAAGTACCTCCACATCTGAAGGGAACCTTCCTGCTGTGAAAATACAACAAAGGGGTAAAAGAATTAAAAAACACAACTGCATCTTGCCCAGTGCAGTAACTGCATTGCTTCTCCTCTTATCCCATCTGTCGAAGAGATTCCTGCCATAAAAGACCTGTGTCCCCTGAGACAGCAATTAATGGGCTATTTCAGATTTCTTATGGATTACTTTAAGTGTCTGTCACTCTGCAGCCTTTATTTACACTCAGCTGAGCATAATGCAGTAATTTTCCAGGTACATTTTAAACCCGCTTGATAAAGAAGTCTTTAATTCTTACTATCATCTCTTTTTTTTTTTTTTCAAAATATAAAGACGTCATTATAAACAGAAAAGACTATGATATCTCTAATGAACACATAACTGAAAGACAGCTGAGATACCTTGGAGAGGGAATCACAGAATTCTTGATAAATGTCTATTCTCAGTTCGTCAGCTCTCACTTGCCGTTCTTACCGATCAAAAGCTGCGCAGTTTGAATTTTCAGGTAAGTTGCCCTCTGTGTGAAGCTGAACAGTCACTTTGTCCTAGATAATATAAAACTACTGCCTTAAGAACCACAGGGATCTCAAAGAAATAACCAGAAAGGATCAACCCACGCTGATTAAAGCAGATGCAGAGTCTTCTGGCGTCTGCAGGAGCCAAATGTTTGCAAGTCTGGCCATAAAACATTCTCCTCTCTTTGCAAATCTGCTCTATTTGCCTCCCAAGTAATTCTTTTTCTTCATCTGCTAAACCTGGGAAATATGAAGCCTTGTTTGAAACCTGCTGTTGCAGCTGAGGAGAAATGAGCCATCCCCAACAGAATTCAGTCTGCCAGCAGAGCCCCACTGAACAATAATGTATTGGCATTGTCTCTTTTTTTCCTTTTTGTTTTCCTGCATCTAGAAAGTATTGCACGTTATTCTGTCTCACCTTTGCTCTTCAGGCCCTCTTCAAGTTTAGCTGAATCCTGCTTCCTCTTTCACGACAAATCATCTTTCTAACTTCTTCTAGATGGTGAAGTCCACATGCTGCCCTCCTAGGATATGAAGATCATTCAAATGACTCACACATAGTTAGATACTCAATAGCATACAGTTGTCCCGAAACAGCATATAAAGGCTATCACTTCAGCAAATCTCAGTATTTTCTCAAATGCTAAAACTGGGTTTTGTTCTTTAGGGACATCTTACAGCTTTTCTGAATTCAATTGCAATATCAAGTAAGCCATATTTAATTTCCTGTAACCCCAGCTAAATGTCCCATACCCTTTGATTTCTGCTCAGGTGAAACAGAAATCAGGGAACTCTCTAAACTGTATTCACCCATTCACGAATTATTGACGTGGCCTTCACATCCCCCTGTCCAACTGACCAGCTGATTTCCCTCTCCAGAAAATTGCAGAACAACATAGCTTAAATTAAGGTACCCAAAACCATCCTGTATTTCCAAAGACAGCATTTCCAGACTGCTCCAGGAGTGACTTTTAGCAGCTGATAACCCTTTTGATTGCATGCGTGGTGGGTGATTGCAGCCAAACAGTTAAAATCCATTAAAACCAGCTGCTGTGCCATGAATGAGGCAGCAGTAATTCCTCTTGAAAGCTCGCTTTTCAGGTTTTCATATTGTGAGCTGCAGATGGATAGACAGTGATAACCCATGCCCAAGCAATGGGCAGCAGCTCACAGCCCTTCTTCCCTGCTACCCCGTGCAATGATACTGTGTAAGTATAAAACACCAGAGGTGTCAGGCACCATAAACCCCCCAAATTGGGCCCCTTCTCAGGGCCTTCTGAGCCCTTTCAGTTCTGGCCCGATGCATGCTCTGGGTGCAGGGCATGCTCGGAGCTGCTCTTCTGGCATGCTGTTACAGCACGCTCCCTCTCCTTGGCTCTCTTATCTCCAGCGTTAATCCCTCTGACTTACTCCTTCTACTCATTCACCATCTCCTTCTCTCTGGCTGCTTTCTTCTGCTTGACTGATTCGTTGCTCGCAGCTGAGAGGCCACCCAAGACACCGATCCCAGCTCAAATAGCCCTTCCTGAAGTCGCCTGAGCATAGTAATCTCTTTGTCCCCCACAGTACGTGCCCAGAATGTGCCCCCAGGCCAACTCTGCTCCCCCTTGCCTGAGGCAGTGCCTACTGCAGCAGGAAAAGCAGAGGTGGCTCTGCTGGAGCACAAAGATGCCATGAGATGATTCAGACAGTGCGGCAACTCCCAGTTACTCCAATCCCAGCATTATCCTGGGGTCCCACTTCTCCTTTCCAGTTCTCAGAACCTTCTCTTGTCTCTGAAGTTGGACATCTTGCCCCAGGCCCAGTGCTCTTGCCTGCATTTTTAGATGGGCAAACTAACGCAAGAACTCAAAGTAAAAATTTCAGCACCTCCAAAGTCCCACTGTCCGGCCTCGCCAGCCACGGTTCCTGCAGAGCCAGCTCTGCCTGCTGGTTTCCATCCTCAGTTGCTCTTTCTTCTCTTCTTCTTTTCATTCCCTTTGGTTTCTCCTCCCATCCTTCCTCCACAACATCAATATTAAATCTTGAAGCTTCCTTTTCCCCCCTTCCCTCATCTTTATCACAGCTCCGGTTCTTCGCTGGTGCTATCGAGACCATGTCACATAACACTGGGCCTCCCGGAGCTGCTCAAAATCCCCTGATTTTTAGTTCTTAGAAGCAAGAAAGAGCTTTGTATGAATTAAGTACTTCCTCATTGTGCCACGCCTGGCACTGGCCATAAACTAAATCACTTCTCCCACACACGTCATTAGCAGTAATGAAATCCGGGCTGCCCTGCCTCCTTAGCACGACATCCATATGCAAATGCATTTCCTCAGCTAGAAGGATCTGCAGAGCCAACGCATGGCTGCTTGGGATGCCTCCAGCAGCCTCTCTCAGGTCACAACTGGAATATATTTGGGGACTACTATTTACCAGGAAGACTTTTATGATACCTTTAAATCCAGCATTCTGCTCCCTAACTCCATCATGAACTTTAAGAGGGACCTGCAGCACTTAGGGATAATGAAAAGGGCAAAGCAAAACATCCCTTTCATGTCTACTCTGATTGTGAAAGAAAGTAGTCATGGGCTAACGGAAGGTTGAAATAAAGACAAGGCTACTAAGCCGTACTAATCCCTTCCCAGTCCTAAATTAGGAAAATCCCACTTCACCTAACAGCTAAATAAAAGCTGTATTTACTTCTGTAGATTTTGCGGAACTGAATCCAAAAAACTCACTATCCAGGTGTCCTAGTTGTAAATGTGGATGGTCAGATCATGCATTTCAGGAGAGGTTTTCTGGGGAAATGCTTCCGCTAGGAAGAGCTTACCGGCATCCTCATCTCCTCCACCTCTGTGGGGCTGCACGCAGGACTCCCCCCTTGGCAGTCCCTTGGGAAACAAGGGCTGGAAACAAGCACCTCGGGTCATTCCTTATTGTCACTGCTCCTCAAATACACTCACTCACAACAGGCATTTGTTGCTGCAGAATCAGTGCTGGGGTCCCCTTTTGTGTCGCCGAGGACCTTGGGGTCAGGAAAAACAAAGGGTCACACTTCAGTTTCTGTGAAATGCCTCCTTTCTTCGCGGTTGACTCATACCCTTTGTAAGGCCCTGAATGGGGTCTCTTCACATCAATGGAGCTCCTACCACACAGATTTCAATACAGCCCCGCTCCTTTCTCCGCTTGTCATAAACGGTGCAAAGAAAGTGCTTTTGCCCATCAGGCTGTGGAAACACCTTGCTCATAGCAAAGCTCAACTGTGCTCTTGCCCATCTTCAAACTCTTCCCATTTACATTTCTCAGACACCTCTCAACTAGAAGAGCCTTTCTCTAGAGATCACTCCTCAACACCAAGGGCCTACAAAAATCCTGCTTCCTTCTTCCTTTGGCTCACA